TCAATGACACGTGTTGGAGGTTGTGCTCTAGCCAACGTAGCAGCTTTGACGATCGACAAACCGGCGAGCAATATAGTAAGAAGTATCATTTTCTACGAGAGTTGTTTGACAGATTATGAGAGTCTGCACTTATAGACTGAAACCTCGTAGCTACTAAAGGAGCTGTCAGGTGTATATATTATCTCCATTCACTTAACGCGAAACCCCTACAGGTAAGCTACTGTCCGGGGTCGCGGGCGGCTCTTCACCTGTTTTCGGAACGGAGAGAGTTGGCACAACCCGGTCTGGAGCTGATTTGTGGATTAATTGGCCGCTGTCAGTTGAGTCACCCGATATGAAACGGGCCATACTAGATTTGTGGGTTAAGAATTGGCCGTTATGATTAAACAACCGGCGAAAGTAAGGACGAAATCCAGGGTAGCAGCACCCCGCTTCGCAACCCACATCCCCTGCGAAGTGATTTGACGCACCAATGTCAACGTCTGCTTAGTTGATTTGAGCTAGGGTCAGTTATCGTCCCACACGGTGTCCTAGGCCCTTACATCTTAGGGCTAGGGTGTCAAGCATCGAGGCCATAAAGTATTCATAGAATGACTTGCCCATAGTGGCTCTCAGGGCAGGAGTCAAACCGGTTGTAATGCAGAATCTTGAAGCAACATAGTAAATCTGTCGAGAAAAAATGCAACTAGCAAGAGCCTTTTTATGGGCTATCAGCTTTTCTGCCACCGTCAGAGGAGCGCCAGCTGAAAAACGTGCCTCAGGATCAAGAACAAGTCCACCAAGTGGATGTAAAGTTGTGAGGCAAAGTATGATTCATGCTCCAGCTTCTCGTGTATCGAGGTGGACTAAATCGTCTCAAAGGCACAACGACTTCTGGAGAATACTCAACTATTAGTGCGGCAGTTGCTTCTTTGAGTGGAACTTCCAGTGCTTGCATTTTTGTCTATCAGGGGACGTATAGTGAGAGCTTCACGGTCAGCTATGGAGGACCTCTTACGATATACGGATACACAACCAGGTCTGTTTGGTTTAATCATAAACTTCTCTTACTAACTGCTGACACATCTGGCCGTAGTGTTGGAAGTTACAAGAGCAACACGGTAACTGTCACACATACAATTTCGTCCGCAGATGCCGGGAGCCTTGATGCAAGCAGTACTATGAACGTTAAGAGCGCCAACTTCAACATGTACAACATCAACGTGAAGAATGGGTATGGCAAGGGTGCCCAGGTATGTTGAATAACTAAGCTCACTACTTCGCTTGCAGTGCTAACGAGATCAAAGGCTGTAGCTCTGACAGCCAATGGCAATCAACAGGGATATTATGGCTGTGGTTTTTATGGGTATCAAGATACGTCAGTGAGGTTCTGTTTTGTGAGAGATGAGGATCGTTGCGCTGACAATTCGAAGGCTTTATGCTAAGGCGGGGTATCAATATTATTCCAATTGCTATATCGAAGGTTAGTTTTTTTCGAGATTAAATGGCTATCTGAACTATCTGACAGTTGGATTAGGAGCTGTTGATTATATATTTGGTGATGCTTCTGCATGGTTCGGTGAATGTACTATTGCTTCGAATGGTGGTGGGGCCATTACAGCCATGTCCCGGGAAACGTCTTCTGATCCATCATGGTATGTAATCGATCATTCTACGGTAAGTAATTTCTCATCGAATAAGGAGAGGAGTTATAATCTCTTTCAAAACTTGTCTAAATATGCTAATGTTACCAAGATTACAGAGGCTTCTGGGCAAAGCCTTTCAGGGCAAGTTTACTTGGGGCGACCGTGGAGGGTATTGGCTCGAGTGATGTATCAATATTCCACTCTAACAGATGTTGTCAATTCTAAAGGTTGGACAACCATGGCTGACGGGGCGACACCGTAAGTCCATGTCCCAACTCTGAACTGATATGTCAATCATAGATTAGCAACAATCGTCAGGATGACGGCTCACCAAAATGACAGGATCTACCAGGAGTACAGCAATACCGGAGCAGGATCATCTACATCTGGTCGACAAATGGAGACTGCGGCCACGGCATCGGTAACGAAGAGTCAGGTTTGGCCAAATGGATATAGCTGGATTGATACCTCCTATTAATCACGATTAGGAGCTGTCGATAAGTGTAACTTCAGAAGTAGTGACTCGCTATTCAATTAAACCCGCTGAAGAATAATAATTTCTGAGCGTTGATATTTTGAGATGATAACTTAAGACTGGCGAGACGAGAACATGACTGACTCTTCATTCAAAGGGTTTGGTGGGTTTCTGGATAGGCGGAAAGGTTCCTTTAAATGCCGCCATGAACTTGAGCAGGAGATCCTCTCTACCCTCTCGTGCTAAAGCAAACATCCCCCACGGTTGCCCGTTCTTTTCTAGATTGCCTAATGGCACCGTGGCAATAGGCCAGCCAGCGCAACCGCCGAAGGAGACCAGTGTGGCATCTGAAGCTGAAAGAGCAATGTCTACATTCTGTTCTGCCATTACCTTGGCAAGAGACTCCTCCCGTGCAATTCGCTGTAGAGATTTCAGGGCTTCGTCATGCTCTGCGTCAGTCATAGTACTGTTCAGTGACACGGAAAGTTCGGTCTGGGTTGTATAAGCTGCATATTATCAATAGCCGACCATTGATAACTGAGGATATCTAACCCACGCTTTGGAAGAGCCTGGTCTGCATGCTGCTCATTCCACGCTATAACATCGGCAAGGTTTTTAATGACTGAACTGGGGTCAAAGTTCTCCATGATGAACCTTTCTATCTCACTTGGAAACTCGTGATCTGCGCCAGTGTCAGAACGATAGAATTCAGGTGGAAAGATAAAGCGGCGCCCCTACAAGCAAGTGTATGCAGACTCTGCTCTCCGTGTTCTAGAGTAGATGCCGTGGGGGCGTCAAAGGGGTAAACAACGTTTGCACCTTTCGCCTCAAGCTGTTTAGCTACGCCATTGTACTTAACCGTCTAGAATCTGTTAATTCCTGTATGACTGCATTAGCAGGAGGGGACTTTACCACTTCTGAAAGACCCCATTTATTCTCAACATCATCGTCAGGAATTCCCCAACTCGACTTAAGAATTCCGATGTTGAACCCTTTGAGAGACTCGTCTGCATCATCCAACGAGCTGCTATCCTGGATCTTGTCCTTGGGAAGTAGTATCTCGGAAAGATACTGGAGATCGACGGGATCTGCCGCCATGATGCCAATCCGGTCGAATGGGTCGCCTAGTTTGAAGACACCATCGCTGGGGACCGAGTTGTGTGTGAGCGTCATGCCATACAAGCCATTGACGCTTGCAGGGAACACGTTCGAGCCAGTCGTCTCGGTGCCGATTCCCAGAGGGCTGAATCCAGCTGCAATACCAACAGCTGGCCCCGAAGACGAGCCTCCACACCACTATTGGGTCAACAGACGTGAGGGTTTGCGGCAGGAGGTCTACATACGGGTTGATCATCTTCTTCCAGGCCGTCTCGACGGTATGGGGACATTGTCTGGCCCCCATAAGCGCTCCAACCTATCTTGGTATCATTCGACCTGGAAACTTGATTAGTGCTCTATCTGAATTAGTCTGATGTAGGAGCATTGACTAACTTGAGTCCACAGAATTCCGTCATGTTACCCTTCCCAATGATAATGAGACCTGCTTCCAGAAGCTGCACTGCATGAGATAGTGTCTTTGACGCCCTTAATTCAACGGAAGTGAAAGCTTACCATGTCGACAATCGTTGCATTACGATTCGCCGTGAGAGATGCAATGGCGTATGAGCCGGCAGAAGTGATCATTCCCAGTGATGGATCCGTCACTATCGCATCCTATGTTTGGATGAGCGTTAGTGCCCAAAGAGACTAACCAATGATGTCTGCTATGCATACTTTGATAATGATAGGAACTCCATGTAGTTTGCTTCGAATTCTGCCAGCTTTTCGCTCGTCATCAAGTCTTCGAGCTTGCGCAAGCGCTTGGTCTTTGGGGCGGACTGCTAAAAGTGCATTGAGCTTCAATCCATCATGATTGTGTTTTCCGATCTGTTCGAGGTAGGCCTCTATGATTTCAACGCTGGTTGTCTCTCCAGAAGACAGAAGCCTCTGAAGTTCTCGTGCAGTAGCGTGCAGAAGAAAAGACTTTGATGCCATCATCCTAGTCCAAATTGACCGATTGCCTCTAGGGATGCTGTAACCTCACCAAGACTTGCCCAACTGGCTCGAGATCTATTGATCCTATATATACATCACATCGACTATGTAAACGGAAGCCTGGAGCGCATTATGTGACAATGTGTAGATTTGATCGTTCGAAAGATAGCCAGATTATTTGCGAATCAGGCATCAAAATTGTCGACATTGATTGTGTAAGCGAAGAGATCAAGAGGAGCAAACCTTTGCATGCTCCAGGCTACAGATTTCGGCATTGATGACGGTGGCCTAATGCTACTGTAGCAATCCACTTCAATTGCAGGTCGATAGAGTTCATTCCTGTACACACACAAAAGAAGCCTCAGAAGTTCTTCAAGGTCCTTTCGGTCTTTGCATCTAGCGAAAAACCGCTGTCGTGGTCACTGTGGTGAGGCGGCGCCAGCCGCCTGCCAGGTGCTTGACAGGGCTGCACGGCTGCTAAAAGGCACCTGAAGTTGGTTACTTTACAGCTTGATTACCACCACATTCCAACATCACGTTATCAATGGCTGGCTACTTGAGTGACTGACCACACACCAAGCAAGCATCGTGCATGACCGAGGAAGGACATGCATGATGTGATGTGATGATACAGTGCATAGTGACACAGCATCGCATCCCTTGCTACCGTCGCAACCTGGAGACGCATGATTGATTGTCGTACCGTACACCATATCATGACACTGCATCACCATCTGCTGCCGCTCTACAACATCAAAAGCAAATTAGTTATTCCATCACAGCTGGTCTTTGGAGTGAGGTATCACCCACTGTTGTATCCTTTATTGAAAACCCGCAGGGATCAGCCTCGCCGTACTTTCGCTGCTATGGCTACCGAGAAGCCACCACTTAAGAAACGGTCTGTTGTATCGTCATTCATCTACAAGTATGTTGACGAGAACGGCGAGCGGAAGCCGAAAGTTGCCCTCTTCAGGCGTAGCGACAAGGTCAACACCTACCAGTGAGTCGAAACATAGCCTCTCACAACATATTGCTCTATTTCTTCATGCAGCATCATTGCTTCAATCATTTATTCGTACCGCATACCGCTAACTAAGTGTCTTGCAGACATCGTCTAGCCGTTATATCGGGTAGCATTGAGAAGACGGATCCATCTCCCCTAGTTGCTGCCTGGCGAGAGCTTCAAGAGGAAACTACACTCACAGCGCAGTCTCTCGAACTTCTGCGCGAAGGGAAACCGTATGTCTTGCCTGATGAGGATATCGGACGAGAGTGGACCATCTATCCCTTTGCTTTCCGCCTGAAGGACCCTGAAGAGGGCGGCAAAGGCGAAGGCGGCATCACGATCGACTGGGAGCATGAGAGCTGGGGCTGGTATGACCCTTTCGAGGTTGTCGACTCGGATGAATTTGGCGGCGTTCCAAAGCTTGCCGAGTCTTTGAGGCGCGTATGGTTCGAGAAAGACCTGGGTGAGGCTGCTGGCAAGCTGCTGGCCGAAGGTCTAGACAAACTGAAGCACGATCACCAGAGCGGGGCGCGGCAGCTTGCCGGTGTCGCCTTGCAGACGCTGCGCGATATCATCGCAACGCTCGATTCACCTGAGCCGTCCGACGAATGGTGGGCCAAGGTGAGGTTTGCGGCCTGGCATATCTGGAAGAATGGGCGTGAAAGCATGGGGGCCGCTATTATGAATGCATTGGTTTCGGCACTAAAGAGCACAGAAGAGACACTACGGCAGCACAAGGAACATCCTGCTTCAGCCCATTCCATGAAGTGGCGCGACGCCGTCCTAGGAGACTTGGAGCGGCGCATTTCTTTGAGGGGAACAGATTCTGTCCGGATAATCTCCGAATCGTTCGCCAAGTATCTGTCTGATGGCTTTGCGCCGGAAGAGGGCGCCGGCAGGTTGATCAGGATTCTCACCCTGTCTGAAAGCTCAACGATCATAGCGTGCCTCAAACATGCCGTCCTACATACAAATGCTTGCTTTGACTTGAGGGTCCTGGAGTCACGCCCACTATTTGAAGGCGTATCACTTGTAGGGACGCTGACCAACGAGCTACTGGCTACACAAGCCACCCTCCACGAAGCTGAAGCTGACCCCAACGCTCCCCCAAAACTCAAGATTACCCTCTTTACCGATGCGTCGGCGGCACTTGCTTCCGTAGACGTCGACATCGTCCTCATTGGCGCAGACCGCATCGCAGCTTCGGGTGCTGTTAGCAACAAGACGGGCTCGCTCCCGGCCGTTCTGAGCGCCAAGCACATATCTCCCAAGTCCAAGACGGTCGTCATTGGTGAGTCCGAGAAGGTGGCTCCTCCTGGCAACCCGGCGGACCACGTCGTAGAGGACAATGATCCCGTGCAGCTTTTGCGGGCCTGGAAGAGTGAATACAACAGCGATCGAGTCAGGCACACCGCGGGTACGATAGCCAGGGTGGTGGGGTCAGAGGTCGGCGGTGAGGCTACGTCAGGCGGCTTTGACGGCACAAAGGTAGCGGTATCTAATGTCTTTTTCGAGTGGGTCGGCCCTGAGTTGGTCGACGTCTATGTCACGGAGTTCGGCCTCTGGACTGTGAAGGATATCGAACGACATTCCGGCACACTGGGGTCGGAGGTCGACCGGCTTTTCAAAGATATTTGAAGGGGTTTTCAATCCCTCTTTTTGAGCCCCGGATGCTCTGACTACCGGTAGCATTGGGGCTACTTGACCAATAGCTCCAAGGCGCGGCACATGCCGTCATGATATCACAGCCGGGGAGTTTTGCTTGCCAGTCATCAACTTGGGGCACTATGTTGAAAGTTTCGATTTTTTTCTCTTTCCTTTCAGAAGGATCAGGACGGCTCTCCCGAAATCCCGGGATGCTGCAACTATCCTTCTCTCGAGATCCACACTGTTTGACCACTTACTGTATTATCATCGACATAAGATATTAGACTACACTACATGCATAGTTTGATGCAGCATGACAGATCCATCCCTCTCGGTCGCACAGGCCTGCGCCATTGTGCATAATCGTCCAGGACCGTCTCCAGCCCGTCAACAGCGATGTGATGGGGGTCCCCAGCCGTCATATTACCTACGTACAGTACAGTACAATACCTACGTCCATACCGCAGCAGCACACCTACCGTTGCCTACCGTTCTGCCTGTTGTAATCGGCACACGGCAGACCGAGAGGATGCAGAAAGGCGCTGCGGGGTGATGTCTTAGTGATAAGCCCCGCTGAAGCCTTTCCATCGCAGCCGCTCATAGGCCGGGCATCGTCGCGACGGCAAGCAGGGCTAAGCCTGGAGCGCCTCGCAAGTCGCTTCCGCCAGCAGCGCCAAGCCGCTCTTCAGGGCTGATCTACATTCTGGCACCGCGAACTGGCCCTTGGACGAGCCCTAGCCGGCCCATTTAATCGACTCTGGTAGTGGCTGGCGGCCCTGGCTCTGCGCGCGCCTACGCCGCCGAAGCCGTGCCAAGCTTCTTCGCTGCCAAGTTGTCGACAGGAAAGTGGGCACCACCAGTTCCGAGAAGCCGATTGCTCCCATAGTAAACTCAGTAAAGGTAACGTCAAGCGTAACGTAAGGGAATAGTTCAGGCAGGTAGCAAGGGGAGTAGCACAGTATCCCCTAACCTAGAGAATAGGACCGAACGGGGGCTGCAGCAGCAGAAGAAAGTGAAGAGCCTACTGTGGCTGCTAACCAACTGACCTAACGGTACCCGGTGCTTGGCCCTTTTGCTGGCGAGTGAGAGGACGAGAAAGCCACGACAAGACAACCTAGACAACCTAATCTGTGACGGACGGAAGGGCAGCCGGACGGGGGCTCCAACAAAGCAAAGCTCTGACGGAGCGGAACACTCTGGCACACAGACACAGCACGGCCAGACGGCCAGAACAAAGAGACGGACGAACTGTTAAGCCCTACATTACCTACCACAGCCAGCCCTCGCTCGTGCGCGCGCGCAGCCCGATTGAAAAGAAAAGAAATAATGCCTCCAGGATGGCCGTGGCGTCTTCTCGCTGACTCTGCCGACCACTACAAGTCCTTCCTCCATCTTACAGGTTAGATAGATCTGGACCTGGATCTGGGGCCTGAATGCATAAAATTAAACGCTGCGGGCTGGCCTCGATGTCCACAACCATCGCTGCTACTATTGCTGCTGCCATTGCCAACTCGTATACCTGAGCTGCTGGCAGCGTACGGGCTGTGATATATATCATACCAGGGCGAGCTCGAGATGCCCAGATCGCTGTCGGCCGGCTCTAACTCGCCCGCCGAGCGGCTGCCCGTCAATCCACGGCGGCACAAGGTTGCGCCGGAGCAGCGAAAGCGAGTTGCAACAGCGTAAGCACCCTGCTTTTTGGTATTCTTTCCTGTCGTGTCCCCAGATCCGTCCATCCGTCCATCCGTGGCGAGGCTGACCGCGGCTGGCCGCTGCCTCTTTCGACCTTAAAACTCTTGGCTAACGTTTGACCAAGGTGCAACAATTGCAACCTCCGGCGCATCAAGTGTTCCGGGGACCGGCCCTGCGCCCAGTGTGTTTCTGCAAGACGACTGCCGTGCCAATACCCGGTTGCTGTCGACAAGGTATCTATTCCGCGCAATGAGCTGGAAGACCTCCGTGCTAGATGCGCCGCTTTAGAAAGGAGTCTCCAGGAAGTCGTTCCGGATGCGGCAGCAAGACAACAGCTTCTAGGCCAGGGGTTCTCGCCGACATCTCTTCCAACAGGTGCTTCGCCATTAGCTTCCGGATCGTCGACGACCGCAACTGAAGGACGTTTGCTGACAGATGTTGAAGGAACTTCACGATGGATGGGTGGGACGAGCGGCGCGAGCTTCCTTGACCATCTCAAGCATGTCATCTTCACGATTAGGTCTTTGCTCAGCGGCACGCAGAATGCGCAACCTATCGGCGCAGGCCTCATAAATTCGGTCGGCGAATACCAGACACATGATTCACGGCCGCTCTTCCAGCCTCGGGTCGCTCCGCTGGAGCTTCCTTCCCCAGACGAAGCAGACTCGATGCTGCGACAGGTCAGGTGGTATATCCAGGATGGATTTACAGAATTCAACCGCGACCCAACTGTACCCAGCGAAGTCGCCTACTCATTCGGTATTAATTACTTTGGGAAGTTGGACTCTGGTGAGCTGCCGTACGGGAATACCAGACATCCGTCACCGACAGACACCCGGTATCTAGCCTTCTATCAAGCAGCATTTGCATATGCAAGTCTTCTCAAGTTGACAACCCCCAACTCTAAGCAGGATGGGCGGTTGGGAGAGACATACTTTGCTCGCGCACTTGCTTTGCTTGGCAACCCGCTCGAGCCAGGGACCTTCAGCCAGTTCAGCCCAAGCGACATGTCAGCTCTAGCACTTATGGCATTGTACATGGCCGAGGTGAATCGTCGTGATGTGGCATGCATATATATGCGGACGGCCATACATCTCTGCATTATGCACGGTGTACACTATGGGCATGGCGTGGATGAGGCATCAAAACGCGTGTTTTGGACTCTTTATTGCTTGGACCGCTGGATTAGTTGTCTTATGGGACGCCCACCTGGTATCTTGGACAATGCCATCCGTCTAGAACCACCTGTAGAAAGCCCGTGAGTGATTCACCGCCACCAAGACACGATCCGCGACCGCATACTAACTATCATCTAGAGATCTGCCTCCAGCGGAAGGTCTTCGCCAGAACATGAGACTAGCAAAAATAGCTGGCTACGTTGTCTGTGACCTATATGGAATAGCACCTGGACCTTCGGAACGAACCTTTGATACGCTTTCATCTCATATCCATTACACCATGAACATGTTGTCGGAATGGCGAGCTGGCCTACCACCATCCTTCCAAGTCTCAGACGCGGCATTCGACCCCAATGACTTCCCCACTGATCGATCGGTATGCTCTTTGTACATGTCCTACAATCAGGTCAGTAATTGGATCGAACGAGTTCTTTGATTAGAACCAATACGGCGGTCGACTAACAGTTTGGCAGCTTATCATTCTCACCACCCGACCCATCTTCTTCACTGCCGTCAAGAAGGCTGTTGGCCGTCAGGCACTCGCAGCTTTGAAGCTTCGGGAACCATGGGACGTGGAAAATCACCGTGAGATCTCGCTGATCAGGCAGTGTAGCGATGCCGCACGACACAATCTGTCGATAGCTCAAGGGATTCGCCACGTGAGTCCTCGAGGCAAGCTCGTTCTCCAGGACTTGCATGGTGTTTTCAATGCAGCCATCATCCTACTTTTACACCAGATCGTCTTTCTTAATCTTCGCACAGGTGATATCTCACTTGTCAGTCATGCTATCGAGATGTTTAGCATCGAAGCAGCCGCCGGCGACAACTACGGGAAAGACTGCGCTTCCATTCTGCAGCAACTAGAAGCGATCGCGCATCGTCTACGCGGAATAATGTTCCCAGACATCGAGCACTCGGGCACCGGTGCGGCCACTCCGAATCTCAGAGACATGGCGGCGAACTTGCATCACATCATAGACGGGAATCTAGGAGGCGGCACTATCCTCGACACGCTTACTGAGTGGGCTGATTTGGATACTGACACGCAGGCCTATGTTCATTTAGAATATTAATGAAAAGTGGATCTAAGTTATGTTCATGTAGACTTATCGGCCGAAATTGAAGCAAGTTACGTTTCCCTTCTACAGGCCGTATAGAAATGTCCACTTCTTGTCAGCGTACCGCGCCGTGCCTGTCCGTTCTCTCTCAATATCTTCCTTTGTCATGCCTGACAAGATCATTAGTTTTTTGTCATTTGCTACTGCGAGCATGCATCGACAAGCTAGATACCCCAGCAGAGCCACGATCATGAATCCGAGAGTAGTGTAGAAAGGCAGCATGTATTCCGGAGCTCATTCGGGACGATACAGCTGAGACCCTATCACTCCCGCAAGATTGCCCCAACCGTTCACACCGAGAACAAGGGAGCGCTTTCCCGGTTCTGCGTTAGTCATGTGGGTTAGACGAGCCTCATCCTATGCAGAGCTTGTGCAACGTACCCGGTGTGTTCCCGCTCAGCCATACCATCGTCAGTGGCGGCGCTACGTAACTTCCAAAGAGGAAGACGCATAAGCCAGCATATCTCCCCCGGTTGTAGGGGATGGCTACGACCAGAATTAGCCCAACAACGGAGACCACGATGCCGGTAACGATGTGGAAACCCCGCTCCTTCCTGCGGTCCGAGCTAAGCGCAAACAAATAGAGACCTAGCGCCCCGAAGACGTACGGTGGTACAGACATCTGCATGCAATCAGGATCTCAACATCTGCACGTACATAGGCTGATTGGGGAGCTGGGCTGCAATTTTGACCAGATTGGCGTCAATGGCTTGGTATCCCATTCCTTGCACGACAAGCGGCAAAAGTACCGAGAATGCGGTGCTCGGTACGCTCGCGCAGATATTGAAGAGGAGGATGCACCACAGCTTCCAATCCCTGACTGTCTCAACAAAGTCTCTCTTGCGCAGGCGTTGGCTGCCGTCATTCTGCGTGCTTCCATAAGGGTCATTGTCAAGCCTGATCCTCTCCGCTAAAGTCTCTCTTCATCGGTCAAGAATCATGCAGAGTCAGGCCCCCGGGCTAGCCATGCCCATGCCATCAGCGCCGCCAGACACGTCAGCGA